CCACTCCCTGAATAACACTTTGCGTGGGAGATGAGTCACAAGTTCCCTGCATAGCCCTGCTAGTCTCCTGATACACCTTCTTGTTTTCCTGAGTAGACCACTCCAGCACCAGGCAGGGCATAAAGCCCCATCAGCTTTTCTCTGCTGTTTTCTTCTCCAGAGCTGCCTCCCATTGGACCCCATTTACGTCTTCCATGACTAAGGTGTATAATGCTGACCTCATACTGATTGGTTGAAGGTAGACACTAGATTTTGGCCTTATTTCACTGAGTTTTACACTTTGACTATTGTATTCCAGAGTTGATGTGCATGTGCAGTTCACTGTGCATGTGACTGAACTCATGGCAGTATTTTTTGGTGGTTCACTGTTCTTTCTAGATATTTTTCTTCCCGTGCCTTTCTAGGAGCCTTAAGATTTTGTGGATAAAAGCTGTTTGAAATGCCATCTTCAGGACATGGTTGACTTTCTGGAATCCAGTAGATGCCTCATCTTGCTTCTTCAGGAGAAGAGGCATCCCCCTCTTTCTGCCCCATTCCAATTTTCTGCCTTTTGAAAGCAAGCATTCTCCTAGAGAGCATTTGAGAGATAGATGTGCTCAGATTAGAGGGGGAAAAAAACACATCTGAAACCACAGGGGGAGAAACAATACTAAGTTTGGGCCAGTCTGAAAAGAAACTAATCGAAGCTCAGAGTGGAACGTTTTGTAACATTTGTGATGTGAGGTTTGTGCAAGCAAAAGTGAAGTCACTGTTGCACCTGGTTTATATGAATTCTTCAGCTGAAGTTAAAAATCTGAACCTCCTGAGTTTTGCTAGAGTGTTACATAAAGCAACAGGAGCATTATGCAGAACACTGAAAGACACATTCCTTCATGTGCGAAACCTGTTGTTTAACAGGCTTTATCTTTGAATATGTTTGTGGAGTTGGTATTTCTGTTTTCAAAAATTCAGAAATATTCTGTTGCCAGATATCCTTCTTAGGCTTTAAAAGTTGCTAGTGTCTCTAAGTTGATTGGACCTATTTATTTGGAGGACCCATTGGACTACACACAGTTATTGCGAAAGTGTTGAGTGTAGGAGATTTAAGAGAAAAATTGCCATTTCTGAAAATAAAGCTTTTGGCATTTGCATATAGCATTGTGGTTCCAGACTCGGTACTTTATACCACATTGAGATATCAGTCTTTTGTGTTTAGAGCAATGTTGTTAATAGATTACAGAGATCTGTGTAGGTGTGTTGTCTTCTTGGAAACTCGCATTTTGTTTTTACAAATTACTCCTTTTCCATTGTTGCAGAACATAGCAGCTCCATTGTAAAACAGTATGTTGGATCTTTTTACAGAAAGAGAGAAATGTGTGAGTGGCCTGTGTAACCTTCTTTATGGTGTTTGCAAATTTCGAGTCTGGTCTTACACCAGTGATACTTTCTGTAGCAGTACCCATCCTTTTTGTGTTCTCCAGGCTGTTTTCTTAGTAAAAGGATGAAGGCATTTTTCTGGTTGGGAGGCTGTGCTAATTGCATTTACCCTTAGAGCCTGGTAAAATAAATAATTAACAGCTTCTTCTTTATTCTCCTCCTTTTTTACTATCCACTTCCCCCTTCACCTTTAGGAAACTGGCAGGATGCACTCTCTTCATCACAGGTGCAAGCCGGGGCATTGGCAAGGCCATTGCTTTGAAAGCTGCCAAGGATGGTGCCAACATTGTGATAGCTGCCAAGACAGCTGAGCCTCATCCTACTCTTCCAGGGACTATCTACACTGCTGCAGAAGAAAGTAAGTTGTAACAAAGGAAGGTGCTGGGCTGGGTGTATACCCTTAATTACCGTACCTGAGTGGAAAAATGCATAGACTCTTAGTTCCAGTTCACCTTTACTGAAATAAGCTTAGTGGTTTTCCTCCCTCCCAGGAATACTGTAATGTTACTGTAATGAAGATGGGTATGTGTATATAAATGAAAAAATGCTATGCTACTTGAGATGTGTGAAATGAATATTTGCAGTGTTAAGATTTGGTTTTGGCTTCCCTGTTCCTCATACAACGAGTTAAAATGTCACAATTTGAGTGTGTGATTTTCACTGCCGTCTTGAAGCATGTCGTTGCCCGAGAGATTGTCAGAAGGTTCATATTAGTTGTCCCATATGAGAGCAAATTTTTAAATGTTAAATTTTTTAATTGTGCAGTTGAAGCAGCTGGAGGAAAGGCTTTGCCATGCATTGTTAATGTGAGGGAAGAACAGCAAATCATTAATGCTGTGGAGAAAGCTGTGAAGACTTTTGGAGGTAAGTTAAGGTGTGGGGGAAGGCAGGTGTTAACAGGCAGATTGTTCAAACAAAATGAAAAAAGAACTGCCTGCCTTACTCATGGGGTTGTTTTTTTCCATTAAATGCTAATGTGAAATGGCTTACTTTAAAACCAGGGATTGATATTTTGGTGAATAATGCTAGCGCCATCTCTTTGACGGGCACTTTGGAAACAGCAACGAAGAAGGTCAATCTTATGATGGATGTCAATGTACGAGGAACCTATCTTACGTAAGTGCTGAGAGAAGGAAGCAAAGCAATTGTAATAGAATGTATGATGTTATTTCAATTTTTCTGAGAAATTCCGTAGCTGTCATCTTGCTGCCCTAGAATCTGAGTGCAGATATTCTGCATGTGCTCACACGAAATTGCTCCATTATTGGTCAACTGATTTCAATTAATATTTCCAAGAATTACTTGCAAATTGGAGTAAACAGAAACCTTATTACTGTGGTCATTAAATGTTCACAAGCTCCTCCATGCATATAGGAAGAAAAAAGTAATTTGTTTCAAATGAAGCTCCAGCTTGGCTATGTTAAATGCTGATGCTCTTTCATTTCAAGCAAAATGTCTAAATTTTTGCATACATCAAGTCAAAATCTTACTTGTCAGTTTTCTGCTCATAAGCTTCTTTCTCATGTTTAGAAACATTGTATAACTCACTATACTTCAAAGGGAGATGTTAGAGATGTAACTTAATGATCTAAGGTGTTCTCCACCTGCTTTCTGCTTATCAATTCTATTATTTATTTAAATAAACATACCAAGATTTGATTTCACAATTCCCAGGGTCCTTATTTTGCACATATTTGGAGGTGGATTTAGCAGGTTGAATCATTGTTACATTAGCAGGATGTCATTTAAAGCACTGTCTTAAAATGAAGACTTTGATTTTCACAGGGTTTATTAAAAAAAGCCCGTAGGATGATGGAGATTCTCTAAATTTGGATGTTCTTTGGTGTGATCAGAGCGTTTTGTATCAAAGTATTACCACAGAATTATAGAATAGTTTGGATTAGAAGGTGCCTTTAAAGGTCATCTAGTCCAGTCCTCTGATCTCCTTGTCATTCTCCTTTGTGCAGGTCAGTCTGGTTGCCAGCTCTTTAGAAATTGCTGAATGGATTCAACTGTATTGCTGTGGCAGGTTCAGTCTTCTCCTCCCTGCCCAATAGCAGCAGTGATTTTCTTGATGTTACATGTAGCTATTCCAAATTAATGGGGAATTCTTAAAGTGTATTTTTGGTCCTATTCTGCCTTGAAAAGATTAAAAATCAGATTCTGTTTGCTGCAAGTGGAAGAGCATAAGAAAAAGCAGTATTGCTCAAGGGAATGGTCTTTGTCATTGCTTTTGTAATTCTCATTGAGAAAACCTAGTGAAGCATTTTTGTCCTTTCTTCTCCTTGCTTTGTATGTTAATTCTGATTGTAAGTTGCAGAGACCTACTTTCAGTTTAATGTTCAGAAAATTACAATAGCTTAAAAAAAAAGGTGTGGATTTTTTGTCTGTGTAGAGATGGTGTTAGGGAGGATGCCCCATCTTACAGAGTATACCCGTTGACATAGAATCGTGGAATTGTTAAATAATGGAATGGATTGGGCTGGAGGAGAGCTTAAAACATTGTCTGCTTCCAAGCTGCCACCACGAGCAGAGACATCTCCCATAGACCAAGTTGCTCAGAGCCCATCCAGCCTGGCCTTGAATACCTCAATGGGTGGGGAATCTACAATTTCTTAGGCAACCTCTTCCAGTGCCTTACTACTCTCAGAATAAAAAATTTCTTCCTAATATCTAATCTTAACCCACCCTCTTTCAATTTAAAGCAATCCTCCCGCTTGTTCTCTCACTCCATGCCCTTGTGGAAGGTCCCTCCCCCACCTTCTTGTAGCCCCTTTAGGTACTGGAAAGCTGCAGTAAGGTGACTCCAGAGCTTGCTCTTCTCCAAACAGAATAACTCTCAGCCTGTCCTTGCAGGAGAGCTGTTCCATCCCTCTAGTCGACTTAGTGACCTCCTCTGGAGTTACTTCAAAAGTCCAGTGTCCTTCCTTTGGGGATCCCAAAGCTGGATGCAGTGTTCCAGAGCAGAACAGAGGGGCAGAATCCCCTCCCTCCCCTGCTGTCCACACTGTTTTGGATGCAGCCCAGGACACGTTTGGCTTTCTGGGCTGGGTCATGTGCAGCCTCTCACCCACCAGCACCCCCAGTCCTGCTCACAGGGCTGCTCTCAATCCATTCATCCCCCAGCCTGTGTTGATACTGGGAGTGTCCTGAGCCACGAGCAGCACCTTGAACATGGTCTTGTTAAACCTCGTGAGGGTCCCATGGGCTCACTTCTCAAACTTGTCCAGATCCCTCTGGATGGCATCCTGACCTTCAGGTTTGTCAACAGCACCACTCGGTTTGGGATCATCTGCAAATTTGATCCCTTTGTCTGTGGCATTGACGGAGACATAGGTAGCACTGTTCCCAATACCAACCTGTGAGGGACACCACTTGTCACTGATGCCTATGAGGACTTTGAGCCATTGACCACTACCCTCTGGATGCCACTGTCCAACCAGTTCCTTACCCACTGAACAGTCTGCCCATCAAATCTTCTCTCCCCAAGCTAAACAGAAGGATGTTATGAGTAACCTTCTCTAAAACTGTACAGACTAAATGACACTTGTAGTGCTACCCTTGTCCGCTGGTGTAGTTCTTCCATCATAGAAAGCCATTTGGTTGATCATCTGGTTGCCCTTAGTGAAGATCCTCTGACTGTCCCATATCACCTCCCTGTCCTAGGATCACCTCCTGATTCTAGGAGTATCTGTTTCATGATCTTCCCAGGCACAGAGGCAAGGCTGACAGGTTGGTAGTTCCCAGGGTTCTCCTGTCTACCCTTTTTAAACATTGGTATGTTTTCCTTTTTCCAGACACTTGAATCCACAGTTTTTCAAATATGAAGAGTGGCTTGGCAACTACATCAGCCTATTCCCTCAAGACTATGAGATGCATGTCATCAGGCCCTATGGACATGTGTATGCTCAGGTTCCTCAGATGATCAGAAACTTGATCGTCAGTTAAAGTGGGAAGCACTTTTCTCCCCTAATCCCCGTCTTGCTGTCCAACCCCTTAAGAGGTGTGGGAAGAGAAGTTGCCATTGAAGACTGAGGCAAAAAAAGTTGTCCCTCAGCCTTCTTGTCATTAGTTGTCACCAGTTTTCCAGCCTTGCTTATCCTGGGATATGTGTGTGTACACTTCCTTTGCTTTTCTTTCCTGACTGACAAATCTGTAGAAGCCCTTCTTGTTATTCTTTGCATCCCTTGTAGAGTTCAGCTCCAGCTTCACTTCGACTTTCCTCACTCCAAACCTACACAACAAGTCTGTGTCTGTATGTTCTTCCTAGGATACGTTTCCCTGCTTCCCCTCGCTATGCGTTTGTTTCTTGTCTTTTAGTTTGACCAGCAGTTCTTGTACTCATCCATGCCAGTCTCTTACCTTCCTTGCCAATTTCTTGTGCCATTGGATCACTAGCTCCTGTGCTCTGTGGAAGGTGTCCTTAAAGATCTTCCAGTTCTGTTATGCTCCCGTGTTTCTGAGGGCAGCATTGCAAGGGTTCCTATTGACTAACTCCTTGAAGAACTGGAATTTTGCTCTTCTGAAGCTCGGGGCCCTGACTTTGCTCTTTGCCTGACCCATTTCCCGCCAAACTGTGAGCTCTACCAGTGTGTGATCACTGCAGTCCAGGCTGTCTTCCATCATGGAGTCCCTGATTAGTTCACTTAGGTTTGTGACCTTCAAGTCTAGTATGGCATCCCTTCTGGTAGGTTATTACCTGGATTAAGGAGTTATGCTCCATGCATTCCAGAAATATCCTGGATTGCCTACACCTTGCTCTGCTACTTTTTCCAGCACACACTGGGGTGGCTCAAGTTTCCCAACAGGACAAGAGCCTGTGAGTGTGATCCTTCCTATAGCTGGAGCAATAAGGTCTCATCAATAGGCTACCCTTGGTCAGGGACCTGTAGTGCAGCCACAAGGTTCCCTTTGTTGCCTCAGTCTCTGTTTCTTACCCACAGGCTTTTACCTGCTCATTGTTTCTCTTCTTCAGTTCACAGGTTGTTCTTCAGAGATGGCTCATCACACTCAATCCACTTCTTCGTGTAGAGGGCAACCCCTCCATCTCTCTTACCTCCCATGTCCTTTCTGAGCAGGATATAGCCATCAATGGCTGCAGTCAGGTCGTGGGATTTATCCCACCAAGTTTCAATAATGGCAGCTAAGTTTCTTGTTTCCTATGCATTAAGAAATTGAGGCATCTGTTAGTCAACCTGCCACTGAAAAGCATTGAGACCCTAGGACAGTTCAGGAGGTGGTAAAGTATTTATACTTTACTACTATGGTGATTTTGTTATTGAAGGTGTTGAAGTCGTTCTCTTTGTGGCTGAGAGTATGCATGAGTCCTGTTGGAATTTGTGAATAGTTGGTCACATATTCCAACATGGTGGAATATGTCATCATATTTGGTGGTGTTTTCCCCTGTGAAGCTTGATTAAAAATTCTCAAGCAGAAATCAAATACAAACATGTACTCTAGTGCTAAAACTGAAGTCAAAAGACAGTTTCTGTAAAGTAAAAGTTCCAATTTACAGAGGTGTGTAAATTCAAAGTAGAATTCTCTTAGAAGACAGTAGATTCTCAGTTTTCTTTGGAATATTTGTGACAACATTCTGGTATGCACTGTTCTCTCTTCAGTATGATTTTAAAGAAGAAATAGGTATGGGATCAGAAGGGATTATTTTTATGACTAAATGATGCTCTGCACCGTTAATTTAGGTTGTTGCCTTAGAGTGTTTTGTTGCCCCTACCAGAACTATTATAAGGAGATTATGGCTTCTGTGTATCTGGAAAATTAGCTTTAGTCAAAGCTGATGCACTGGCTGGAGAATGTTGTCTAATTCACAGGAATGAATACTAGGCCTATATAAGTAATCTGTGGCAGATACATTTTTGTTGTTCTTTGCTTCTGTTGATACGAGAAGAGGCTTTGTCTTGGGCTGTTGTGAAGATACTGGTCTACTAGTATTGTTTTTGCTGTAATTTTAGGTGTTCCATAAAATAAGAGGCGACTGATACATCTGAATCTGTCTTTCAGGTCTAAAGCATGCCTTCCCCACTTGAGGAAGAGTAAGAACCCCCATATCTTGAACCTTAGCCCACCTATGAATCTGAATCCCATGTGGTTCAAAAATCATTGTGGTGAGTAGCAATCAGAGCCTTTGTTGCTATTTTGTGAGAAACATGTAAGTACCTGGTGAAGTGTGCAGTAGTGCCAGTGCAGAATGCCAGATCTTGTATCTTTAGCACTACATATAGACTGGCACTAATGGTTCCTCAAAGCATTTTGTACCTGACCTACAAGAAATTGTTTTGTGGGAAATTGTAGGGCAGATTTCAAGGCACCATCCATTCTTTTTCTTTTCAGGGTAGGTCTGTGCTTTTCTATGGGAATTGTTAGGATTACATATTTTCTGCTCCAAATAGACACTAAAACCCAAAATTAATTTTCTTACTGATTCAGTTTCATTATATTTTTACTATGGATAAAGCTCAACGTTGTCTTTTAGTATGGAAATTATGAGGTGGGAAAAGAACTCTATGTTATCTTGAAGTTAGTGTTGGTCATTTTAAAACTGTAGAAAAAAATTTCTGTTAGGATACTTGTCATGTTAAACTCCAGCAAGTTCCAGTTCTTTTTTTCCCAAGAAAGTTTCCCTTCTTAAAGTACATGGGTGACAAGGATATAGAATTCCTGTCCCCCACTTTTTTTGGTCTATCAGATACTAGTTTGGTCCTTAACAGCTAATATGCCTTAGGCATCTTAAGAAAAATTGATCACTCTTGTCAGTGTGCTGTGTATAAAAAGCATGACAAAATCACCATGCAGCTGGGCTTCGGGTTTACTTTTGGCAGAGCATGTGTACCTTTCGTTTAGTTTGTAGTGAAAAGATGACAGTTAGTATCTGATGGAGATGGCAGGTAGAAGGGAGAGATTTTGACTCTAGGAAAGTACTGTTTTTTCTGAAAATCCGGAATTTTCTTTGTGAACCAATTATCTGTTTTATCTTACTTTCATAATTAAAATTAGATATTACATAGAGTGTAAACTTATTTGTTTTTTTACTTCTTGTCTTAGCTTATACCATTTCTAAATATGGGATGTCCATGTGTGTCTTGGGAATGGCAGAAGAATTTAGAGGAGAAGTTGCTGTCAATGCTTTATGGCCTAAAACAGGTATTTTTTTTTAATATTGCTGAAATACTGACTTTCTGTATTTTGTTTGCTAAAGCTTATTTTATTTGACACTGAATACACTATACTTCAGACTTCTTCTGGAATAGGTCAAGTGACTAAGCAGTTCTTTTATATATTATTTTTTCATCCTGCACGGGTTCTGATTTTCATTGCTAGTTTTCACTAGACTATTGCCAATTTGATCTAAACTCATCTTCAGCTAGTTAGGAACCACACGGTTGGTTGAAGCATGTCTGTAGTGTTCGGGTTGCCTGTTCTTTTTCTGATGCACCCTATGTTTTGGTTTGGACAGAATCACAGAAATAATTGTGTGCTTTAATGAGTGGATATTGAACATCTGTGTATGTACTACTATTTAGAATTCCTTGCTAGTTAAACTGCGAGAGCTTACTGGCAAGATAGATACTTCTGTACATGCAGAAATAATTTTTAAAAGGCCTTTTCCTAGAAATTTTGGCACAGTGCAATTCTGTGAAGAGTTTTTCACAGAACCATCTGATTGCAAATTACAAGAAATTAAAGAGCTCTCTGGAAGAAAAATAGCTCAATGCTTCTATGTTGTATTAGCTTCAATTTCTTTTGTGTGGGTCAGTGAGGATAAGGGCTGCTGTTTGAGGTTTGGCCAGCTGTTTGCCAAGGAGGCCAGTCTCTTTTCGCCACGTATATCTAGGGGCAGAAATGATACTAGGTGTTAAAATCAATACCAGACAGAGAATAATCCTGCCCTTTAGTGGTGTAACCCCAGTCATTGTGTTAGAAAACATTACTACAGTGTTTATTTCCTTAACGAGTGCAAGGAGGGAAGAAGGAAGAGGAGATAAAAGTATGAACCGAGGTCGTCTTCTGAGGATGGTGCTCCAGTTTTGGAAGTCTTTGTACACAGACACTTTTCAGTATTTTCCTGTTAGGATTTGCAGGCCCCTTTTAACCTTTAGTGGGAACTGGAGGTCTCTGATCTATTTTCTCTAAAGTAAGAAATGTGAGAAAAACTCAACTATTTCAGAAAAAATCAGTAAAATTCCTCAGCTTGAATACAGTAGGTGATCAACAGTTAAACAGTTGGCTTTTTCATTGGTCTGGATGCTTGCATCTTAAGTGCTTCCAGTAAATGGATGCCTCATAGTTCTACTCACTCTGTGAATTCTACGCACAGAAATATTTTGGTAAGGGATTGACTTTTAAAATTATAATTATATTGTTCATGATAATTATATCATCACAAAACTTGTACTATTTTGAAGACTATAAGGTCTTCATCTGTGGTGTACTGAAGGCAACTACATGCATAACTTAAGAATATGGATTACCTTGTGGTGAAGTCAAAGTTCACCTTTTAGGTTTCAAATGTGTGTTGTATTGTTTTATTTCTGAGGCAGTTAAATGAAATGTGCACTTGTCTCCACATACTTGCTTCTTGAGTGCCCCAGGAAAACCTCAAAAATATATGTCCTGATATGTGGGAAAGGATTTGTGAATCTGTCTCAAAACTTGGGGGTAGAGTGTTGAGTATTAAACAGCAGATGGAAAAAACTAATGAAGCAGAATATATGAGGGAAAAACAGTAAGGTGGCCAGTGTCAAAAGATGCACAGACAGCCTTTCCATGGAGTAGGATGAAAAAAAAATGCGGCCGATACATCAGCCTGGAAGAACAAATCACAGACATAGACAGCAGTGTGCCACAATGTTATTAGCAACCATGGGAGAAACATAAAGAAGACCAGTGGAGTGGCACAGAATAGAATTGCTTAATAAAAGAATCAGAAGCCTAGGAGATGTGGATTTTATTCTTATGTCTAACACAGCCTTTCTGAGAAATACTGAACAAGTAATGTGAGGTTTTGTTATTTGGTTTCTCATTAACTTAGGAGAAACACCTTAGAAGTTCATGGGAGTTATCAAAAGACTAAAATAAACCATCAAAACTTTAAGTGTGATAATCACCAAAGATTATTCCTCTTTATAACTGATGTGTCATACATTCACTTTGAGGAAAACTGTTGTCCTGTTAGGTTTTCATGTCCTGAACAACTGGTGGAAACTTGTGGGTTGATAAATACATATGTGAATATGTAATACATGTGAATGTCGTAAAATGTTGTGGCCTTTTTGATTCCTGTGATTGTTTAATGAATTTTTACTGTTGCTTGTAAATAATTATTTGTTAGTTGGTAGTATTTCACAGCTTCTGTTTTCCTAGAGTTTCCTTCTGTCTGAAAGAAAGATACATTTTGTTTACTTGTGAAAGAAATGAGAATTCCATGTCATCAGTGTTAAACCTTTGTTCTCTTACCTTCCAAACTTTCTAGCCATACATACAGCTGCTATGGATATGCTGGGAGGAGCTGGAATAGAAAAACAGTGCAGGAAAACGGACATCCTGGCAGATGCTGCATATTGCATTTTGACAAAACCAAAAACTTTCACTGGGAACTTTGTTATTGATGAAGTTCTGCTGAGAGAAGAAGGAGTTAAGGATTTTGATGTTTATGCAATTGCACCAGGTAAAAGAGATCTTTAAAGGTGAGAAGTAAGTTCAAGAAGGAGGGAAGGATATATGGAGAATATTAATACAGTTTTGTTTCCCGAGGTTCTTAAATTAGTTTATAAAAAATGTTGCTTTGCCTCAGCTTGGAGAACGTGCCTTACTGGAAAGCCCATATGGATCCATTGAGAGTTTAGTAATTAAATGCCTGTTAAATAGAATTTAGAAATTCTTTAATGAAAAGAATGCCTACCTGCACTGTAGATGTATATATTACTATTTAACAGCTCAGGAGATAGATTTTTATGTTTTTCTTCTCTGATACTCTTCCCTGTAACCTTAGACGCATTCAAGATCAGATTTTAAATGAACTAAACTCTAAACATGTTATTTCAGGATATATTTTTCCTTCAAATTAACTTACAAACTGAGATATAGTACTACTTGACTGTAGTTTCAGGTGAAATGGATTTCTACTGTGCACATCCCATTTACTTGGATTTATTATTACATTTTTCCTCCCTCTTAGGTCACTCTCTGATGCCTGACTTCTTCTTAGATGTTGAAATTGACACTACGGCTATGAAGCAAAAAAGACATGGTAGGAAAAGCACTGTGTGTTTAAGTCCATAATTTCCCTAATTAATTTCATTTCGCACTAATGAATGCCCTCTTTCTTTCTTTTTTCCCCTATAAATTTGGACTCCTCTCAAGCTTTTTAACAAAAACCCTTTTCTCATTTGGAGAGTAAGATTTATGGAAGTGACTATGTAGTTAAAACTGGGAAAAAATCATACCTCCTGCAGGACTTTCATGGTCAGTAAAGTCAGTGCATTATTTTGAAGAATTTTTTTTTATCATCTGAGTTGTGGTAGTAAGGAGGTCGCAGGTGTAAGTACTGCTGGAAAAGGAAATTATACTGCAAACAGCATATTTTGCAGGAATATCTCCTTTGCTTTGCTCATTTATACAAAAGAATAAACATAAAGCCTCCAAAGCTTCTTACAGGAAACATGCACAATTTACACTATTAAAGTAACTCTTGGATGAAATGTAGAATTTTTTTTTAGAAATCTGTTGCTTTTGCTTTTTCAGAATTTTTGTATGTCAGGTTGAAAGGCAAGTAAGAATGTTGAACTGCTTTTATAGGAGCATCAAAACAGGGATAAGGCCAGGGCAGAGGAGGCAAACTTGGAAGTCTTCCTTTCTGTGGGAAATGCTCCCTAGTGTGAGCAGTCGCACTAGGACCATCCTACCTGGGACAGGTGGTGTTGGTTCCTTGGGCTCCCAGTGCAGGTTATTTTGTGGGTACTCACAGAACAGACCTGAGTATTTTTTGATACTGAAGATACCTAAGAGACTTTGAACAGCATTTTAAGAGGCTGTTCAAGTTGATTTGCTTTGTAAATTGCAAAAGCTTTCCTTTATTGTTAAATGTGCATGTTCATTGTGGTGAAGTAAACCACTGATCAAAGCAGTAAATTGATTTCCACCCTAGAAGCCTTTGCAGGATAATTTATGAAAATAGTCATGTTTTTTACAAGATAGACAAGACAGAAGTATTTTGGGATGAAAGTGATGGCTATTAAAGAAACTGTTTTTTTCTTTTTAATGTTGGCAGGAGTAGTGTATAGATTGCATTAGAAAACTGTTGTGTGAGCATCTGTAAACAGTCAGAATTAGAATTTTACTGGGATTATATTTTCACTTTTCTTTTGATCAATCAAAAGTCGAAATTTATTGCAGAATTTATGTTCAGATTGCAGGGTGGAGAAAGCATCCTTTATCAGTGTTCAGTCTGAAATGGTAAAACAATAATTTTCCCTACTTTGAAGCTTAAATCTTTTCAAATGGAGTTCTCTGTATATGTTTCTACATTCATTTTTAAAGTGGTTTGCATTTGAAAGAGAAAAATAAACCTTTCTCATAGGTGCTGCCCAAGAGGAGAAGAAATTGAGCGGATCCCAGCAGGAAGGAGCCGATGGAGCCAAGGTTCAGACAGAATCTGCTGCAGCCAAGCCATCGGGTCCTGTTGCAGAGACATTCCGAGTTATTCAAGGGGCAATGACTGAAGAGTATGTGAGAAATACTCAGGGTGTCTTCCAGTTTGAGCTGTCTGGTAAGCCCCTCGCTTGTGCAGCCCAGCCTAGCAAAAGGCACTGGGTGTTTTCAAACAAAAACACTTTGGAAGCTGCTCAAGCTGCGCTGCTGCCCCACACAGGGCTGGTGTGGCCCCAGACAGACAGGGCTGGTGTGGCCCCAGACAGACAGGGCTGGTGTGGCCACGGACAGACAGGGCTGGTGTAGCCACAGACAGACAGGGCTCGTTTGCCACAGTCAGGGCGCTCTCAGGGGCACAGGAGAAGCGCCAGCTGCCAGCAGCTCAGTGAGCCAAGAGCAGCCTCTGGGCTCTCCTGCCCATGGCCCCAGCACGTGGTGCCTGGGGTGTCACAGGGGACAAGGGGTGACTCCTTACAGAGCACTTGCTGGCGTGTGGACTGCCACGGAGCTGCTGCGAGCACACCGAGGGGCAAGGGAGAGGGAGGGCCCAGCACTCTTTGCTGCCTTGTCACCTCATTTCACTCTGTCCAGGTGATGGTGGAGGCACTTGGTACATTGACCTGAAGACCAAGGGTGGGAGCGCTGGCTTCGGAAAGCCTCCTGTGGCAGCTGATGTGGTTATGAGCATGTCAAGCGCCGACTTTGTGAAAATGTTCACAGGTGAGGGACAAAGGCCTTTGTCAAGGGACGCACGTCCCGGGGCCCAGAAAAGCCTCTGCTCTGGGGGAGTAGAGCGGCTTCTGGCCTTGTGATCTGGGATTGGAGGAACTTCCAGCATTTTGTGGCTCAAGGGAAAGCGCAGGCAAGAACCGCTTGGATTTTTCTGTACTCCTGTGTCCTGAGAACAGGAAGAGTACCAAAGGTTACATTGCTTTTATTAACCAAGTACTGACATTTTAGCAGCTAGTGTATCTTCAGAAAGAATCCAGTCAATGTGTTGGACTTGTGCTCTGCACATGTCTGAGCAGTGTTTCCTAAATGTGCACTGCTTTTACCAGGAGCATTTAGTAGCCATATAGATGCTAAGGTTTCACTGTGGTGGCGTTACGTTTTCCTGTGCAAAGGTTTTTTCCAATTGGTTTGATATTCTGATGGTTCTGTTTCTTCTTTTTAGGTAAATTAAAGCCAACTCTCGCTTTCATGTCTGGAAAATTAACGATTAAAGGAAACATGGCACTAGCAATAAAGCTCGAGAAGATGCTTTCGCAGCTTAGTTCTAAACTGTGAGGGGAAACCCATAGTAGCACAACAGTGGCCTTTCATATATAACTGCAATGCTGTTTAAAATTTTTAGTCCTTGTTTTTCTGATGCAGTATGAGAAATACTGATAAAATGTGAGATTTTTATAGAATAACTCAGTCTCATTAAGAAGGTGTCCATGATTAAACTAATTCCTTCTCAAGAATACACTTAGGTTCCAGGTGTTTTCTTTATTTCTGCTCCTCTGGATTAATGTAGGACATTTGAAGGGACTTTTTTCCCACACAGTTGATTGTGTTCATATCCCATAGAAAGGGTGGGTAGAGCAGATGTCACCCTGCAGATCAGTGCTAGAAGTGCTATGCCTAATTTACTAAGCTATCTTAGAAGTAATGTAAATAGTTTAACAGAGCTTCAGTTACACCTGGTAAATTAATATATCAATTTTTTCTTTCCTTTCATGAGTTTATTACCTACGTGTGCTCTCATACCTCTGCATTGCACTGAGTTTGGCTGCACAGCCATACTGAGTGATAAGCAGGTTTTCTTCTTATGCAAAGGTACACTCGCACACATGCATGCTCATGTGCTCTCTCTCTTCCCCTACCCTCCTACATCCCTGCAGCCAGTCATTTCCCTTTCCTTCCATTTGGCTGGTAAAGATTTAAGCTCACTGGTAAAATGATGCATGCCTTCACTTTGTAAGTGCCCGAGTGCACACATGGGGTGCTGCTTCATGTGACAGCATCTGCAAAGCCAAATGGACCAACCTCTTAAAATGGTGGCCAAAAAAACTGCCCAGAATCTGGATCATTAGCTCTTCTGAGCAAGCTGAGAAGGTTGCAAGACTCAGGATTTATTTCTTAATTAACTTAGAAGTCCAAAAGTTTGCAACTTTTTAAAGCCTGTGCTTGTTTAAAACTGCTTGTGACCTGCATTGAGAAGGTCACATCTGTATTGTTTTATCACAGTTCACAGAATCACAGAATGGGTCAGTTTGGAAGGGACCACATTGGGTCATCTGGTCCAAGCAGCACTGTCCTAAAGCACATTGCACATAATTGAGTCCAGATGGTTCTTGAATATCTCCAGTGAGGGAGTCCATGCCATCTCTATGGGCAGCCTGTTCCAGTGTGCAGTCAACTGCACAGTAAAAAAGTTCTTCCTTATAATTTGAGTGGAAATTCCTGTTCATCAGTTTTGCCCATTACCTCTTGGGCTATTGCTTGGTATACTGAAAAGAGCCTGGATCCATACTTTTGGCAGCCTCCCTTCAGATACTTGCAGATATTAATGAGGTAAGGCAGTTGAATTCTGGTATAAAACTAATTCAGCTCTGCCCTGCAATCTCTGGAATCTTGAAAAACAGTAAGATAGGTTTCTTTCTCACCAGGCACAAGGGTCTGGGGTGCTGAAGGAGGGAGATGACTTATCCTGTGTTATGGCAGCACAGCCAAGGGTGGCTCTAGCCAGGGGGCAGTGCCAGTAGGCTGTGAAGTGACCACTCCCAGTCCAGCCCACACACTGGACTGGGCTCCACGGCT